CTACTTGAGTAACTGTGTTTACATAGGAAAAACGGGGAAGTGTTTGGTCGCTTCTCTGCTTGGCCCATATTTAATGCATGGGCTAAGCTAAGTGCTAACATAGTTTTGCGCCAATACAGAGCGATATAGTGCACGCACTGAGACGAGAGAGGTATGTATCAACTCGTCTTAGTTAAGGGAATAACATAGTTTAATAAGAAAAACTGGTGGAGTATCCCTTTAAATCTGTTAAACCTTTTCAAAACTTCAACACAAATTTGGCATTTCACACCATGTGCTCATGTAAAATGTACTAGCATTCAAAATCACAATGTCATCACATCCTGAACACATGTACAGTTGATGCGACACCTTTCACAAAACTGTTCAATATTCACTGCATAATGAATAACTGCATTTTATTCTATTTATGCATTTATTAGATATAAATACTAGCATCAAAACTACAAGTGTGTTCTCTGTTGATTTGATAACAAATTTGACTGTAGAAACAGAAATACAACTGTATCAAATTGATTGAGAAAAAACTGTAACACACAACTTGTGAACAACACAAAATTGTTTGCACACCAGTTAGATCCACAGATTAGATTATTGGTTTAGGGTTGAAACAATAGGAAAGGGCTCAAATTATAGGACAACGTGAATGTGAAGGAAGGCCAAGAAGAACATTAGTCTCTGATGAGATCTGTGCTACTGACCATGTGCTGCTCTTACCTAAAGAGGTGATTAAGGGATAAATGTGACTTCATATTTTTTATACAAAATTTGTTTGTTTTTTTAACAGTTTTTCCCAATTGGTTCCACAGGCTTGCTGAATCGTTTGGCCCATTGTCCCAAAAGTCTAAAAACAAAACCACAAACACGAAATGCAAAACAAGAATCTATAGCAAATACTGCATTCAAAACTGTTACAAAATGTGTTTTTGCTCCAAAATGATATACACACATGAAGAGATCTATCTACCAACCAACAACACACTGATGTGCTCAACACAAAACACTACTGAAACCCCAACAGTAAGTTTGTGCCTTTTGCATTGTTAGTGTTACACTGTTGCTGGTTGTAAAAGATTGTTACACTAATGTATACAAGCTCAAATATTCATTGACACACAAATGAAATACAGTAACAAAAACTTTTGTCATTTACAGTATTTCCAAAATGCATTATTATTTATGTAACACTGGGGTTTTGAATGTAACACTTTCACATCCAACACGAGTAAACTAGGAAAAACATACAGTAGGATAAAGAGGAAAACATTTTTTAAAAGCCTAAACACTAAAATACTAAAACACATGCAACATGTATACAAAAAACACAGCACTTCATCTTCATCACAAGCAATGTTGTCCCTGCTAAACAGTGGGGAAAGAATCTTCTGGAGTGACGGATCCATCGACCGCAGGCCTGCACATCAACTTCACCATACGCATCTTTAGTGTGTGGAGAAGAGGCATACTTGCATACTTGGAATGGCGTCATACTCCATCATCATGCCGGGGGGAAAAAACTCGGGAAAAAAAAGGAATTGGGAATATGTTGGGAATATAACTGTCTTTGCCCTTATCCTCCTTACTCTCACTCCTCCACCTCTAGCTCTTGCTTCACCATCGACTTCCATTATCCTCCAAAATAGGAAAGCTCATCCAAGTAAACAATTCTGAAACTGTTTACAGCGGTGAGTGTGTTGCCAATCGGTGTAAAGAGATCTGTGTGTAGAGTTCTGCAAACAGTGTGATATAGAATTTATAAACTGAGTGTCAAGCTGGAACTGTGCTTGCAATTTGAAGGACTTGGTTTAGTGATTTGGTACATGAGTTTCAGGTTTTAGTGATTGTGTTTCAAGTTTTTGATTTTAGTGTGTGAACAATTGGAAAAGAAACTACTTTTTTTCCATTTTTCTTATACTGTATCTGGTTGAATATTTTATTAGTATGTTTTACACTACAGTATATGAATTTAAAATGCTTTACACGTTTCATAACATTTAATGCTGTGCTTATTCATCCATACATAAAGGTATTTCTTTTCAAATAAATATATTTTTACCCAAAAAAACATATTGAGGAATTTATTTGATAGTACCTAATACTCACTATACTGTAATTTATGTAGATTACAGTAGTATTATGTTGCAAATTTCAAAGGTTTGTGTACAAAACAAAAACAATCAATAAAGTATAGGCCATGATTATTTAAAAAAAAAACTGCAATGAGTAGAAAGTGTAATTGTGTATGTGATGACATTGTGAACAATTTGAAGCCAAAGTTGAAAAAGAATAAAGATGCTTTCATTTTAAATAGTCTTTGATTCGTCATTAAAGTGTGCACTTTGTATGTGAGTTTATAGTTTTGATTTTGTGCTTTCATAATTATTTTAGTCTTGTCCTACATAACTTTGTATGGGGTGTGGTTGAAATTCAGATCACTGTGACCGAAGAGATTTTTATATTACAGACAGTTCACTGAGAACAATGTTGATCATCACAGATATAGGTTTATGGTTTTATTTGATTGTTGTTGTGTTACCCTTATGTGTTTTTTTTTAAATGTTTTTTTAACTAAACAGAATATTGTCTTCATTATTTACAGACAATGTAAAAATTTGAAGCTTTAAAATAAATTGTCTTTCCTTGTTGCATGCCTGTCTCATTATGGTCATTATCATTATCTTTCACCGGAGCCATACAGATGTCCATAATGTCAAATATTACATTCAGGAATTTTCTCAAGATTTGATTTGATTACAGCTGCTGAATTCATCAAATTGGCATCGGCTTCAATGAGACAGTGATCCCACTTCATATTTTAACATAAATCATCAAACATGAATCAAATAACTCAATAAATGATTGTACGACTACGCATGTTCTTGTGACGGAGTAGTGCAGATTTCAGACAACAAGAATTTCGACTACGCCACCCATGGGAATTTCACCCCGGGAAATATGAATGAAACCTAAGAATTTAGGTCACACAGGTTCGATCCCCTTAAGAATGTAGGCAGAAACGTGGGTATCATGAAGAAATACAAAATTTTATTAATACAAAGTCCTATTTAAAAAGAGAATGCAATTCACATTAAAATAACCTCAGTTGCACTAGGATGTGTCTGATGACTCGTTAGTGCATTGCTGACATAGGTTTCAGGACAAACAAACAAAAAACAACGTGACATACAACAATTTACATAACTAATAATTACACAACTGACAAAAGAAATACAACCTTACAGGGCCGAGGTTCACCACGGAGAAGTGATCACAAAGCTAGTTAGTCAAAAGCACACTTGCACGCACACACACCACCGTGTACTCAGATCACGCAACCAAAACACTTCAAAAGTGTTGCACGGCAACCGTAGGAGGAGCACCACCACCACCACAAGAGACCCTTCACCCGTGGGACCCCGGCGACTGAAAGAAAATAACAAACAAACTTAAAAACAGTTACAATAAATCACAATTTGATTACATCACTGTATGGTCACAGGAACAGGCAGTGAAAAAGTCATATCAAATCACAAACAATATACAGATTTTAATACAATAAAAAAAGAAAAGAAACAAATTAACTCAATTCAAATAATAGGGTAGACGAGCTTAACAGGAGCACCCGCGGGGTTATCTTCTCCTTATTTCACAAATTAGTGAATGTCAACCCCAAAATACACTAAACTATAATTTAAAGAAACCAAACAGCGACAATCCCCCTGAACAGCTGGACGATACGGCGTTCTCGCAGTATGGCAGCAGAGAAGCGAACGGGACTTCAACTATGGCAGAAACAAATTGCTCACGAGCGAGAGAATCCGAAAAATGGAGATAAGCTCTATTATCCCTTTACAGGCACGGGTATACGGTATTCATATAGCTGCCGTTCAGCGGAGACACAGGAAATACTGAGAGGTTAGCGGTCTTAACATCCACTTAAAACAAGCCGAGGGAACCAGGGAGGAGAAAAGACAGGCTAGGATACACCATGAATCATTACTGCCATGCACACAGCAAACAACAGAACTTGCTACATGCTAATGAAACATACCTGTGTCCACTGTCAACAACAGAGAACGGGGAGGAGCCGGACGTGACGCATCCCAGGCCATAACCAGCCAGCTCTTAAATAGTGGATACTCCCTGCTGATTGGTGCTCACAACCGTCAATCAACACCACTCATCTCATTCATTCGGTTACATTCTCAAATGTCATCTTTTATTCCTGTTTATATTATTTGACCCAGTCATCTTTCCTTTGGTTCAGATAAACATTCTAACCATGTTACAGAAACACATCCCCATGCTGTCATGTGCCAGAATATTTCACTTCTGTGTTGGTATTAGCCCTTTTCCTTTATTTACATTTGTGCATTTTGCATGCCAATTTTATTCTATTGCATTCAATGTATACATTTTATTAGTTCATTTATTTCCTGGAAATCGAACCCATGACCTTTATACGCCTTAATAAACTTAGTTATGCAGTTAATTTATTACATTGTTGTAAAGCACTTAATGTGAAGAAAAATGTTGGTAAATATGAAGGAAAAGCTCTAAAAAAAACTTTTAATGGTTTTGTAAAGAAATATTTAGAACTAAAATGTACAGATTAAAAAAAAACATTCCTCCATATGATTTTCCATATTTTATAGATGTTTTTCTGCTAGTAACAGTAGTATTAGTAAGATTATTTAAACGAAGCAATCACACACTGGAAACTATATGCAATTAACAATAATGACAGCAGGGGGCGCTAAAGCTCCATGAATAAAAGTTTCTGTGCCTCTCTGACTCAAATCAAACCTTTGATTGGTTTCATAATAGTTCTAAATGTTATGAAAATATTGATTGAAAACCTTTATAACATCCTCATTCACATTGGTTCTATCCACATACGATCAGCTCTAGAGAGTTCAAGCTAAATCATTACACATAATAAAATACACGTTATTTTATCACTACCAACATTACATAGAGATGCTCAAATACAAGTCGTGTATGTTTGATGCAATTTAAAAATTGTCATTATTACTTTAATTATTAAAGTAAAAAAAAAAAAAAAAAGTTCAGTATAAGGAGACTGTATGAAAGATGTGACTAAAGAGAATGCATCAGTGATCCAAGGAGGTCTTCTTTCAGTCGGCATCAGGTAACATTAGACTTACTGGAGTCAGTTTGGCACCAGGATCCTCCCTGACAAAGTAAAAAAAAAAAAAAAATTTGACAAGTTAGACTCTGGCCCTCGAGGTCCTGCAGTGTTTGGTTTGATCAAACCTTGATCACCTTGATCATATTCACATGCCTGTATAGCTTCTAGAAATATTTAAGACCTTTATTAGCTTGTTCAGGTTTGTTTGATTAGGATTGGAGCTAAACTGGAAAGTCGAGATCCAGTCGAGATCCACAGATGTATGGATGAGTATCAGCATGATCTGCTCTCATCTCCACTGACCTGATGATTTCTTTTTGTAGTAAATGAGTCCAGCAGCGGCTATGATGATTCCCAGCACCAGACCAGAGGATCCCATAGCGATTTTATTCCTGTCAGACTCAGAGGGATCTGTGGGGAACGGAAATCATGCTCTGTTAGCGAATGATCTTCATTCTCAATATTTACATGTTTAGTATTTGTTTAGTTGTGCAAGTGTAATAACAAAATAATTTCCATATTTTCAATTTTCTCCCATAAATATGCCAAAACTATTAATAAAGGAAAGACTGTAAAGTAAATGTTTTGTCTTACTCCAGTCTTCAACAATAGGTTGAGGTGAGCTGGCGTGCTCCACCACACAGGAGATCTTCTCTCCAGATTTAGGAGTGTATTCCAGCTGAGAGTGAATCTGGTAATACCAGTCTCCATCAGCCATCTCCATTGTTGAAGTCACGTCTGTGGTCACCACTTCACCGTTTCTCAGCCAGTAAACTTTGATTTTTTCAGGGTAGAATTCATATGCACTGCACATCAACACAGCTGGATGGGCCTTCAGCCTGCTTCACTGAACTGATTGTAACCGTCGGTAGAACTAAACCAGGAGAAAAAAAACCCCTCAAAAATGAGCTTTTATTCTAATGTATAACACTAGAATGGTGTCACTAGAACTAGAATGTAAATTTCCTGAAGAAAATGTGAGTGGGCGCTTGCAGTGGCAAAACTCGACACTCGGTTAGCATGCTTTTAGCAAGATGCTAACACAATTAGCATGTTGTTAACATGATTAGCATGTTGCTAGCATTATGCTAACATTATTAACATGTTGCTAACATCATGCTAGTTTACCAATATTTAACATAGTTACCATGATTTAAGTCAAGTCAAGTCAAGTCAAATATATTTATATAGCGCTTTTCACAATACAGACTGTACCAAAGCTGCTTTACAGTATCAATCAAAACAACCTAACAGTGCTTGTTTATTACTGGAAAAAATACATCCAAGTTTGGTAGAGCTGATCAATGGTATGATTGGTTATTTAATTTGAATATCCCCAAACTGAGCAAGCCAAAGGCAACAGTGGCAAGGAACCGAAAAACTCCGTCAAGTGACCTACTGGTGTCCTAAAACTCCATCAGATGACCCAACGGAGAAAAAAAAACCTTGGGAGAACCCAGGCTCAGTCAGGGCCAGTTCTCATCTAGCATTTATGAACTAGAGGCCAAATTTACAGTAACTGTAAGATAAAAAAATTTATATGAATGCCTGGCTAAATAGATGCGTCTTTAGTCTAGTTTTAAACTGGGAGAGCGAGTCTGAGCAACGAACAATATCCGGAAGGCTATTCCAGAGCTTCGGAGCTAAATGTGAAAATGCTCTCCCTCCTTTGGTGGATCTGGATATCCTAGGAACGACCAGAAGCCTCGAATTTAGTGATCTTAAAGAGCGCGATGGATTATAGGGCGATAGAAGATCCGTTAAATAGACTGGAGCTAAACCATTTAGAGCTTTATAGGTCAAAAGCAATACCTTGTAATTAATATGGAACTTTATAGGTAACCAATGTAGTGATGATAAAATCTGTGTTATATGATCATATTTTCTTGATCTAGTAAGAACTCTAGCGGCTGCATTTTGGACTAACTGTAGCTTGTTTATTGAGGATGCAGGACAGCCAGCTAATAAAGCATTACAGTAATCTAGTCTCGAGGTCATGAATGCATGAACTAACTTTTCTGCATCAGAGATTGATAGCATATTACGTAGCTTAGCAATGTTTCTAAGGTGGAAAAAGGGTGTTTTTGTAACATATGAAATATGATTTTTAAAAGACAGGTTGCAGTCTAATGTAACACCCAGGTCTTTTACTGTAGCGGATAACGTAACAGGGCATCCTACTAAACATGAGTTAAAGTTAAAGTCGTGCTGTGAAAAGTTTTGTGGACGGTTTTTAGAACCGATAAGTATTACCTCTGTCTTGTCTGGATTTAATAAAAGAAAATTACGCATCATCCAATCTTTTATATCTTTAACACAATCTGTCAATTTGGATAATTTAGCGTATTCATCTGGCCGTGATGAAATATATATTTGACTGTCATCAGGATAACAATGGAAACTAATTCCATGTTTCCTTAGAATATTACCAAGTGGCAGCATATATATATTGAGAATAATAAAGGGCCTAACACAGATCCCTGCGGCACTCCATAGTTTCCCGAAGTTACGATAGATTTTTCTCCATTTAAGTAGACAAAATGGTAGCGGTCAGATAAATATGACCGGAACCAGCTTAATGCTTGTCCTTGAACACCAGTGTAATTTTGTAGTCGATCTAAGAGCATTGTGTGATCTATAGTATAAAACGCAGCACTAAGATCAAGTAAAACTAGTATTGAGATACAGCCTTGGGTCCGAAGCTAAGAGTAAATCATTTGTGATTCTAACAAGTGCAGTTTCAGTGCTATGATGTGGCCTGAATCCAGACTGAAACTTTTCATAGATGTCGTTTTCTTGCAAGAAATAGCCGAGTTGAGCGGACACAACTTTTTCTAATATTTTTGACATAAATGTAAGATTTGAGATGGGTCTGTAATTTGCTAGGTTATTTGGATCTAATTGTGGTTTCTTAATAAGAGGTTTTATAACCGCCAGCTTGAACGTTCTTGGAACATGACCTAAAGATAAAGATGAGTTAATAATATTGAGAAGAGGTTCTTCCACTATAGGTAACACTTCTTTTAATAGTTTAGTTGGTATAGGATCTAATAAGCATGTTGTTGTTTTAGATGAAGTGATAAGTTTATTTAACTCTTTTTGTTCTATGGTCGTAAAGCATTGTAATTGTTCTTGTGGGGTAATAATTGTGGCTGAATTATAAGGCGCGAGCAAAGATTGAGCGTTTACGATTGTGATTCTGATGCTTTCAATTTTCTCGGTGAAGAAGTTCATGAAATCATTACTACTGAACTGAAACGAGGTATTTTGTTCAGGCGACGTCTGTTTATTTGTTAGTCTAGCCACGGTATTCTATTAGTTTGCTGAGGTGCTCAGCCCTGGCTGTTTTAAGGGCCTTTTTATAAAGGCCCGTGACATACTGTCTTTCCACGTGATTCTAAAGACCTCTAAATTAGTTTTTTTTCCATTTACGCTCTAAATTACGGGTTTCTCTCTTTAAAACATACGTAGTATTATTGTACCATGGTGCTATACTGTTTTCTCTGACCTTTTTCAATTTAATGGGTGCAACAGTATCCAATGTTCTAGAGAGAATGGAGCTCAAAGTGTTAGTTAGTTCATCTAGTTCATCTGTTTGTTTTGGTTCAGGCAGTAGCTGAGACAGATCAGATAAGCTATTTGAGAAATGATCTATGGTGGATGGAAGAATTGTTCTGCCTGGTCGATAACGTGGCGCAGCATGACATATTACAGCAGTACGTAATATACAGGTTACCATGTAATGGTCAGTGACATCATCACTTTGTAGAATGATATCTATATCGGTTGGATCGGTTCCATATGATATAATTAAATTGAGTGTGTGATTAAGACGATGAGTTGGTCCGGTGACGTTTTGCTTGACCCCGAAGGAGTTTAATAAATCTGTGAACGCAGCCCCTAACGCATCATTTGAATTATCTACGTGTATGTTAAAATCTCCAACAATTAATGCTTTATCGACCTTGACCAATAGATCTGATAGAAAGTCTGCAAACTCTTTTAGGAAATCGGCGTAAGGCCCTGGAGGTCTATATACGGTAGCCAATGCTAGAGATAATAGGGATTTTTTTCTTACATCTAAGAGCGTAACATTTAGCACAAGTACTTCAAACGAATTAAACCTATGACGAGTTTTCTGAGTAACATTAAGGATATCTCTGTAGATTGTTGCAACACCGCCGCCACGACCGATCAGACAATGATCTAACACAAAACATTATACATTATACATTATACATGCTTATAACAGTATCCTGGTGGAGTAGACTCATTTAGACCGAAATTATCATTTGGTTTAAGCCAGGTTTCAGTAAGGCACAGAACATCGAAATTATTATCTGTGACCATTTCATTTACAATAACCACCTTAGGTGTGAGCGATCTAATGTTTAGAAGACCTAGCTTTAGGAATTGTTTTTGTTTACTAATAGCGAGATTTTTTGTTTTACAGTTTTTCTCGATTGCTTAAACACTATAACCAGGCTTTTGAACTAAAATTTCAAAACCATAATACCATTTATCAAAAAGCACACCCATTTCCCTGAACTATAAACACTATTCCCCTGTTTTGACACATGAGTCAGATTTGTTGAACTGTTACTGCAAAACTCTACACACAAATCCCTTCATTTCTCATTGCCTACACCATGTGGTCATTTAGAAAGCACAAGCATTCAATATTGTTCACTCAAGTCAGCACAGCTTCAGCTCAGTTAGCACACAATTACCCAGGTGAAAACACTAAGAGTCAAAATTTAACACACATCAATCAGATCCTTCAATAGATAGATAAAAGGGCCCGAATCAGTTTATTGAGTTTTGGAACAATGAATCCAGAAAGACATAGAGGAAGAGGAGGAGGAGGATGAGGAGGGGGAGGAGGATGAAGAGGAGGAGGAGGAGGAAGAGGAGGAGGAGGAGGAGGAGGAGGAGGAGGAGGAAGAGGAGGAGGATGAAGAGGAGGAGGAGGAAGAGGAAGAGGGGAGTTGGAGGAATGGGAGGAGGAAGAGGGGGAGTTGGAGGAAGAGGAGGAGGAAGGGCAAGGACAAGAAGACAAGCAGTCTCAATGAAATTCAAGCCACTTTAGTTGACCATGTCTTTGTCCATGGTGTGACTATGAGGGAGGCTGGGCAACGAGTACAGCCAAATTTGAGTCGCTTCACCGTCGCCTCCATCATCAGAAGCTTCAGGGAGGTGTGGTGGCAAACACATGTCTATCACTGAATAAGAGACAAACATTTCCAATAGTCTTTGATGAGGTTTATAATTTCTTACAGTAAAAGAAAAGGCCAGCAGTCGTACAGTCACACAGAGTGGCACAGAGTGTGACCGTGAAGGAGGGCATCCTTCATCCTTTATAGTCTTGACTCTCAGAATGTTTTTTTTATAGGCCAATGATGGTATTTCAACTATATGTGGAGCATTCTTAGACTTGTTCATATTGTATCCTTGAGTGGAGGCCCTTCTGTCACGTACCAACATTCTTTACCATTCCAATACAATTCCATATTAGAATAAGGTTTGTGTTTGCTCTTTTACTGTCATATGATGGTCACACATCATATGACATACTGTAAGTAAATATAAAACATTTTTTTAGCAGAGAGAGTAAAAAAAGAAGAAGAGTAAAACGGGAATTTTTGTGTGTGTGTGAGTTGTACTGTGTAGTACATGAATGAATGCAAATGTGCCAATGTATGCATTGGTCGTGTCTTTTGGGTTCATCATGTGAAAAGGTTTGTGAGGGGGGAACCACAAGCAACATAACTTACCAGTTTTGGAAATGTTGTTTTGAATTTATTGCAAAAATTTATTTATTGAATTTATTGAATCCTAACCCTAACCCTAACCTGTAAATACAAAATACATACT